AGTTAACTTTTTTTTTTCCAGTGGCCCTAATCCTCTTCCGTAGAAAGGGTTTAAAAATATAAGTAAAAAATGAGAAAAGGTGATAAACTGCCTCTACGTCACACACGTGACGTCGCCTGGAGGGGCTCCAAAGATGCCCCTCGTTGTGAGCGCGCGGCATTCAGTGATCCGCAGAGGACAGTGAAGTCAGCTCTCTGATCTTTACATTTACCCGCAGTTTGGTTGGTTTTTAATCGGCATGTGGGCGCGAGCTGTTTTGTGCGCGGCGCTGCTGTCGGCTCTGTGTCCGACCGGTTCTACGGAAGCCGAGAGGGAGGAAAGAGAAGTGCAGGACAATCGCTACAACTCCAACAGACTGGTGAGCTGAACGAAACCAGGAGCAACAAAAAGTTTATTGTTTTAATATTTTTTTGATTTAATGTGCAGCTAAACGCAAATCTATTGCAATAGTTTCCCTTTAATTACAACATGATAAGGATAATCTCTTTGAAAATATATTAAATGGCCTTCTCTAATAACAATAAAACTTTTGATTTACATGTTTTTTTTCTTTTTCACAATTTGCTCTCTCAAATAATCTTTATAAAACGTAAATATTAATCCTATCTCTACTTATGTTACGTCTGTAAGAAAAAAAAACATGTTTTAAAACCTTTAGCTGTTATATGAAAAGACTGGGGCTTAAATGTAAATGTATTTCAATTCATTATGCTCAATGTAAAAAACAAGATGACAGTAAAAATCTACTTCTTATTATTGATATCAGTTTGAAAATGTTTCTGGTATATCTTAGTTTAAAAAATTTAAATCTAAAATAAGTGAATATATAAAAATATTTATAAACAGCTACAATGGAAATTCTGATTTTTATCTTTTCAAATAATTTTTTAATATTCTTTACATGCATCTGGATCATTTTCCCTCTGAGACCAATATTTCTAATCATAAAGTTAATTTTCTTCTCAGCTCGGAGCGCTGCATGAAGTCCTGGAGAAGCTGCAGACGAAGAGGATCAATCCGTGGGAGAAGAAGTATGGACAGGTCCCCTCTGTGAGTCTGCAGCTTCACTACATAAAACTGAAATATGATTCTAGAGTGGAAAAGCTCAGTTACAACTAGAACATCCTCAGAAAGAGGAGTCATTCTAAGAAAAAAACATCCCTCAGGAAAAAAAAACTACATTTAAGGAGATTTTAAAGTCGTATAACCACATGAATATTGAAATAAATAAAGAAAAAATCAACAAATAATAGATGCTACACACCTTTTAGTTTCCAAGAAAGCAGGTCTAGCGTAAACATGCAATTACATCCTTTTACCTGCAGATGGTGCTAAAGCGCCCAGATTACAATTAAAACCCAGAGATTGAGTTTCTTTTTTTTTTTTTTACTTTTTTTGTGTTATACAAAATATCTAGATTTAAAGACAAACATGGCTGCATAGAGTTCATTTCTTCAAGCCAGGATACATAGAAAATATAGTCAGGGGGAGCAACTCTTAATACAAATAGGAAATATACCTATAACGTAGATCTGCTATAGAGGGTTGTTAACATAAACATTTAAATACATAAATCAAATAAATAAACAAAAAGAAAATTCTGAGATAAAATAAAAGCAATTATAAGAAAGTATAACAGAAGGGGAGAATTCAGCTTTTGTTTAGCTGTTTACTTTTTGTGCTTTTCCAGAATCAGATTTTATATATAGTTTAAACTTATTTTAAAAAACAAGTTTTTTCATTCATTTCTGAATGAAAAATTAACCAGACATACAATTGTATTAGTGCAGAGCTCCTCATCCTTACTTTGCAATAGACCAAACGTGACATCGTCTCTGGAGATAAAGTTTGGGAATGAAGATCCATCTATGTAAAGCACACCAAAATGTTTGCACCAGACTGAGCTTTTTATTGTGATTTCCTAAACAGATCAGTCTTTAACCCCTTTACAGGGCAAGTTACTGTTTTTTGATCACTTGCAAACTCCTTACAAATTGAGTCACCATCCCTACATGACGTCTAGAAGCACAAGATCTATATCCAGCTATTCAGCAAAGATTCTGCTATGTGGCTGTACATCTTATTTTGGCATTTGACCCCTTAGACATAACCCTTCAATGATTTATTTACTGTAAAATTTTACAAGAAAACAGGTGAAAAGCTAAATGAAAAAAGGCTAACTTAAAAAAATAAAAAAAATGTGTATCAGCATTAAACCTCAAAGGTTATACTGCTGTTTTCCCTAGTATATATATTAGAGCAAGTGGGCGTTTATTACCTTGAATGTTCCAAAAGTAATAAGCTCTTATCCTGTCCTCCAATAACACTCTTGGCTTGAAATCTGACTTTCAAAATATTTCACTGAGTGCCCTATAAAGGGTCCAACACAGTATGACGCAACATTGTGACAAATGTTTATAGAACTACATCTTTTGACATCAAAATGTGGAGTTAAATATCTAAATCCTACTGTGGTGGATCTTAATCGCTCTGCCGTCAGTTTAAAGTTTTTAAAGGAAATTAAACCACTGGAGTAAAGTGGCATAGCTGAACAGGGAGGTTTGGTTACATCCCACTGTGACAAAAAGCTCCTGTGCTCCTCCTGGTGAAGTAAAACCCAGGGTCCCCCTGGAGCAGAAAGGTGTCTGGATAAATCAGATTCTTAATCTGTTGAGTTAGAATTGGGTCCCTAATTTCAATCTAATGATTCATTTGGATCCTTTTACCTTATTAATATTATAAAGGTTTAAATCTACATATGTCCGTTTGATGAAATCAACTAACAGCCACTATATACGGTCATTTAAATTGAAAACAGCCGTAAAGCAGATAGATCGCGATTCCCTTCTCTGGATTAGAGAAAATTCACTCAAATGTCGAGACTTTTTTTCTAAAGTCCATGTAGTTTCCTCTTGATTGATCCAGAGTTAAATCAGTTGAATGACCTCGATGACATTCGCTCAGAGTCGACTGAAACACGACACTGCGCTCAGATCTGCAGGACGTTCCTCGTTAATTGTGCGATCTTTGTCTTCCTCTGCCCAGTGTGACCTCGGCGAGCACTGCGCCATCAGGAAAGGATCTCGGATTGGGAAGATGTGCGACTGTCCCAGTGGAGCCTTCTGCAACTTCTTCCTGCTGAAGTGCTTATGAGCCAAAACCCAACAACCCAGTACATTTTAAAACTCTGTAAGAAAAAAAACATTCAGGTTCTCTGTAAAGAGCCTCAGCTGTGGAATCCATGTTCTGAATTAAAGATGTTTTTGCTCTAAACTGGGAATCTTTTATTTCATAAACTCAACAAAAAAAAAATGTAAATATATATATATAAAAAAGATTCTACTAAAAAAAAAAGCAATTATTTTTAAAATCTGAAGGCCTTAATAGAAACGCTGAAGCTGCCTGAGGACTCCAGTTTAAAGGAAATTAAAAGATCTGACAGGATTAAAGTCAAACTCCATCTAAATTTATTCAGTCAAACATAATTTAAACATCAGAAATCAGCAGTCCTGCACAGCCCAGGCTTTTTGTCCCAAACGGATTTTATTAGGAAGAAAGTTTACACATGTCTACACGCCTCGGGGCTGCTTGAAGTTCATGCCGACGGGGGGCTGGGTGACCTGCAGGTTGGACAGACTGCCGAAGTCCTGCGGGACGAGAGAGAGAGAAGACAGACCGGGGTGAGACCAGTGCAGGAGGAGGACAGCTGAGCGCTTCTGTGGGACAGAATTTGTCTGAGAGCGTCAGGGTCTGAGAGGAAGCGGCGCTCCTTCAAACACGGGAAAGCTCTCAGCTTTATCTGCCTGTATTAATAATGACGGCAGCCACAGGGAGGCTGCCATCACCTTTCGATACAGGGTGGAGGGAGGAGAAGCAGAGGAGGCGGCAGGAATTACTGCTGATCCGATGGTGATCAGTTCTAACATCACAGCTTTGGCCTTAAAACAAGGCAGGAAACTTAATCTCACTAAATGTGGAGCTTTTTATAGCATTTAAATGTTCCTCATGGCTCACGGAGAGCAGCTGCTCCTCTAAGCTGGAAACTTTCTCCATGATAATATTTCCATGCAAGACAGAATTCAGTCTGAACGATTCTGAACTAAAAGGCAACCTTCGTGTTCTGGATCATTAAGCTGCTGAGCACAGGAGGCCGACGACACGACAAGAAAGACAATAAAGCAGCCGTCTGTGGGGTGGATGAGGAGGGAGACAGGGCGGCCATGTTTTCTGATGAACCAATCTAAAACCGGCCTGTCCTTCAGATCTGGTGTCTCCCATCAAAAGATCAGAATCAGATCGATTCAGGTCACAGACACATTTGCTGTCATGTAGACATCGCTTTGAAATCAGGCGTGTTAAATGCTGCAGTACTTTGGCCCACAAGGACCAGAGGCTGAAGGTTATCCTCCCACAGCAGCATGTCGCAGGAATCTTTCCTTTATGCCCAATTCTGAAGCCCAATATATTCCACACCACAACGCAAGAGGGCCAATCAGGAACTAGCTGTGGGTCTAGATACGGCCGAGGCGGTGAGGAAGTGGGGGAAAGTTTGTGCGACAACGGAGGGACATGAGGGCGGAAAAGAGCGGTGATCCAGGTGGAAAAACGGTCCCAGCGTTCCCACGCACCTCGCTCTTCTAGCTGGTCCATCTTCACGAGTCGTTTTCCACAATGGCGGTTATACAAACAAAACAAGCCGGTAAGGTACCAAACAAGAATATGCATAGTGTAGAGCAGATGTAGATTTGACCAATCAGAGGCCTCCTGTCTGTGGTCACCTACAATTTTGGAGAGGTGCAGCAGAGTGTCTGGAAGGGGCGGGGGCATATTTACGGTCACTGCGACCAAAACACAGACAACCTGGTTTCTGAGTATAATCAGAAATACTTTAATAATCCCAGAGGGCCGTTAATCCACTAGAATTAATAAGACAAATTACAGGATCAATAAACTCTGACTCCTGGCGTCAAACGTTGGAAAACTTCCATCCATCTGCTTCTCTTTATCCTTCAAACCAAACGTCTGCAGTGAGGTTTCCATGTTTAAAGGAAAATTCCGGTTTTTAACACTTTTAGCCCATTTTCTGTAGTGTCCAGGATGAAATCGAATGATCGACACCAAAATTTTGACAATTGGTCCTGTCTCTGCTATTTGGCTCATGCAGAATCCCCCCCTGGCTGCTTCAGAATGGCTTTCATAGTGCATGTCCGATAATGTCCTTAAAACAACCTTAAACGTTCTTTTTTTAAAATATGCTACTCACCGGGTCGTCAGCGCTGTTCAATGACGTTCCAAAAAAGTTTCGTAAAGAAAAAACGTTCCTGTAGTGTTTTATTTAGCATTTTGTAAATCCCATTGAGTTCTGTTGGAATAGTCAATATCCCTCCGCCACCGGAAACGGAGCCTGTTTACACAGTTGTAGTCTTTTCGCTTCACTCTGTGTACTCCGACGTCGAGGTGCTAACGTCTCTGTTAAACACTTTAAAAAACTCTGAAAATGGAATACGAAAGGTGGATTCTTGAGGAGGACATATTGGACTTTGAGTTTGACGGTAGAGGATACCGTCGCCAACTAGTGGTCTGGAGTGTGCAACGCTTCAGATTCGAACGGGAAGCGGAAGTTTATAAGCGGTTGTGATGTATCGGAAAAAATAGTTCTGGGATTTACAAAATGCTAAATAAAACAAGACAGGAACGGTTTTTCTTCACGAAACTTTTTTTGGAACGTCATTGAACAGCGCTGACGACCCGGTGAGTAGCATATTTTAAAAAAAGAACGTTTAAGGTTGTTTTAAGGATATTATCGGACATGCTCTATGGAAGCCATTCTGAAGCAGCCAGGGGGGGATTCTGCATGAGCCAAATAGCAGAGACAGGACCAATCGTCAAAATTTTGGTGTCGATCATTCGATTTCATCCTGGACACTACAGAAAATGGGCTAAAAGTGTTAAAAACCGGAATTCTCCTTTAACTCTGAACCCACTGAACAAGGCTGCTCTAAACCCGTGCAGCTGAGCGTCCTCGTCAGAGAGCGCAGAGGACCGCTGTACGATTCTGAGATATCATTAATGAGCTCTGAAGCAAGCCGCCAATCCCTCGACGCCATCAAACACGCCGCATCATTAAACTTCTTACAGGAATGCCTCGCTCCTCCAGCTTTAATCTTCAGGTTAGCTGGAGCTAATCTCTGCGCTCGTTTGATTCTGATCTACAGCAGAACCAATCAGGCCCAGAACGTTCTAATGGCCAGGACAGTCTGAAGGTCAAAGCGAAGAAACCAAAGAGGCGCCGATACTCACCAGCAGCTTCAGCATCTCCTTGGTGTCGGGATCAACCTCGATGAGCTCCTGGTCCAGAGCAGACACCTGCACAGGTGAACAGAAAGCAGAGGGTCAGAGATTAGAGCCACAGGGAGACAGGCGGGATGTTTACAGGAACATTCCAACGCAAAACCAGGATCCAACAGAAATCCTCCCTCAGCACTGATTATATTATGATATATAGTTAGAAACGTCTAAACAGAAGTAAACTTTGTCTGGGAGCGCCAGGGTTCAAGAGGAACAGGAAGTCCTTGGAACACGGGAAATGCTCACAGGTTGATGTACCTGTAGTATCAATGACCTGGCGACAGACACGCCATGATCACTTTCGATACAGGAGCCGCTAAACCGCATCAAAGGAGCGAGAGGATCCAGAGGTCACGAGACGGTTTTCACAATTATTACGACGTGACCCCTGCGCTACACACAACTATATCATTAAATACAGAAACGTAGACGTAGAATAAGGAGATTTATGATTTATTGAATAATGTGACACACTGAGAATTGAGTTAATGCCACATTACTTTAAAAAAATAAAATTACAGTGATAAACTAATAGATGTATTTTACAAAGTGAATCTGTTATCAAGAGAAAATCACTTATAATAAAAGAGTGAAGTAATTCTATATATTTTAGGAGTTTAACAGATATTTTTGGAGTCAAAAGCAGAAATGTTTGGGAAGCATCGATATAGCTAACAATTAGATTAACAAATTCGTTAAATGTTTTGAGAAGAGAGGAAAATAATAGGGGGGAGAACAAGAGGATAGAGGAGCCAGGAGTAGGATGGGGAGAGAGGACAAAGATGGAGGAAAGAAGGCCAAAGAAATGAGAGGATAAAAGCAGGTAAAATAAAGGTTTGCTGTGGAAAGATGAATCAGCATCACCGAGATGGAAGCACTAAAGGAAGCAGGGCAGGTGAGATAGGAGGGAATTTAGTCCTTGAGATACTAAATTAAACTGTTAAAAGTTAAATTCGAACCCATCTATATTTATCAGCCCTGGAAAACACAGAAAGGCGATTCTATTCTATTCCAGACTGGGTAGAAACCATGAAGCCCAAAGGAAGCAAAGTTCACTTCATCTCCTTCCGTCAGAATCAAACTTGTTTGAATCAAAGATCCAGTCATTTGGTTCTGACCCAGCAGAACATATTTCCATACATGCTTTGTTTTTTCATAATGACTCCATAAAATACCCCAAAACAAACCGTCCACTTTTCAAGTATCTCAAAGTGAAAAGTCACTTTAAAAGCGAGATGAGTTCAGGTTAGTCTCAGTCGCAGAGACGGAACTCTTCTTCAATTTCAAATCTAAATCAAAGCTCATCTAAAACTCAACGAAGAAGCCCTTTTCTCCCTAAAAGATGGCCGACATCTTTCTGAGCCCACAGCAACATTCCTCTGATCCTTCTCTTCATCCAGACACCAAACATCATCCTGTCTAATGATGCGTTCACTGACCTCAGGGACGTAGTTGTCTCTCCTCTCTCTCTCCTCCTCCTGCAGCTTGATGGAGATTCCTCTGACTGGACCTCTCTGGATCCTCTTCATCAGATGCGTCACATAGCTTCAGGAGCAAACACCAACATTAGGTTTTCGTCTTTAACCTCTCAGCTCAGCATCCCTCTCAGCCCCCCCACAGACTCACCCGGCTATCTTGTTGCGGAGCTTTTTGCTCGGGATGATGGCGATCTCCTCACACACCCTCTTGTTGGTGTGGAAGTCGTTTCCCAGCCGGGTGTAGTATTTCTCGATGATGACCCTGGCGGCCTTCTTCACCGTCTTGGTCCTGACTCGTCCCTGCAGGTGCAAACATTTCACACCGATCAGCACGTAGTTACAACTGAATTTAAGGAGAACACTGAGAACCGTTGTTTTCTGTGGAACATTGTAGGACATGGTCACTGGTCAACGGGACACACTGTCCCACAGCTCTAGGACTAGAAGGTCCACAGTCCTTCCTGGTTCTGAGGAGACAATTGTTTGATTCAGGAAAGCAGATCCCGAGGACCACTACATGTTCTCTGGGTTCTGGATTATTCCTCCACATTTTGAAGCCATCATTTGCCGTTTTTAGAGGCCGATGATCTCATAGCATTTGTAGACCCCTACCTGCAGAGCTTAAGCAAAGCCAGACTAGAACACCGCCCCCTACAGGCTGAACGTTTAGCAAAAGGCATGATGGGAGCATCTCTTCCTGATACTTTGATCTACTCAAGTCATTGGAAAACTTATTTCAAAAATGATGCATCCTCTTTAACGAGACGGTTACACTTTAAACTCATCTATACATCGTTTTAAAATTATATGAAAGCTGTAATTTTGGGATTTTAAAAAATGCATTGAAAGCATGTGATCTTTCTAAGGTCTTTGAGAATAATTTTAAAAAGAACAAGTTAAATTAACATATACATGTCAAGGCTCAGATTAGATGAGTCTCAGATAATGGCTCTGGCTGCATCTAAGGTTTGGTTTCAGTGGAGAACCGGGAACATTTCCTCCGTAACACCGCCGCAGGTCCGGCCCGCCCTCCGGTTAGCCTGTCCGGGGACTGTTAAAACCCTCCAGCATTAATTCAGCCACAGTTTAACCACATTATAGAACCACGTTATATATAATACTTACAAATCGATCCCTGCTGCCTGTTCTTTAGCTAAGGGACCGGAATCTGAGCAGAGCTCATTCAGACCCGCAGCGGCTCGGTTAATTTGACATTATAACGTTTAAATTTACTAATCTGTGATCAATATTAGGGTCACTCGCTAACTTTAACAGTATAGAGTTTGCACATACAGCTGGCGGGTTAAATAAAGTGATAAAACAGGAGGATTAGTTGGGATAAAAATGAAAGACACGAAAATTTCACCCACCATGTTGGAGCGGCCTGGTAGAAGAGACCGAGGAGACTTCCGGTGGAAGTTTAAAAACAACGACGGGTATTTAACCACAGCGCCACGCCGAGGCTAAAGGCTGCAATTACAAAAACAGTAAAACACGGTCTAAAATATATAAAATAAGCCAATGATTTATATGGAATAGGATTAGGGCCACTGAAAAAACAACTGATTTTTAAGTATTATATGGGAAAGAAGTCGGAATTCTGACTTTAATCTCAGAATTCTGACTTTTTCTGAAATTCTTACTTTTTTCTCTGAATTCTAACTTTAATCTGGCCCTCCCAAACAACTAACATCTTTGTCAGTGAAGCTGAGTGTCTCTCTTCATTCATGGTGCTACATTAAGATCCACAATTCTGAGATTATAGTCAGAATTCTGAGAAGAAAAGTCAGAATTCTGACTTTTTTCCAACATTAAACTGAAAAGATGCGTTAAAAATCTATTAACTTATTTTTTTTTTTCCCAGTGGCCCTAATCCCCTTCCATAGATTTACTTATATTCAAACCTTTATTTTTAAGGCAAAAAAAAAAAAAAAAAAGAGAAGAAAAAGACTAGAAAAGGTCCGGAATCTGAAACAGTAGTGCTCCAGGAACGACCTGCTTCTCATCCTAAACAGGAAAAGCAGTGGCGGTTCTAGACCAAATGTACTAGGGGGCCAGGAGGGGGCCAGCGTGTCTTCATGGGGGCACAGAAAAGCATGAGATAAAAAAAACAGGGCAAGGTATTCAAATATATATTAAGGGGAACGCTGTTTTTTTTTTTACATTTGGCGCTTGATTTTACGTTATTACATCATGTTCTACTCACCCATATGAGTTTCTGTCATTTGGAGCCGTTCTGAAGATATTCCATTAGGTTATATCCAAGTAACGTCTTCCTATGGGCAACGAGTTGAAGGCACAAACTAAACTGTTCATAATTTATTCTTTATGGTACGCCATCATTCATAACATGTAGGCGAATCACTGTCCCCCAGACATCCGCGGTTATATTTTTTTATATTTATATTTTTTTAAAACAAAGCGGAGTGTGTATGACGTCATCCGTGCGCCGGATTGGAGATGTGATAGGCAGCCCGGGCCACACCCTCTAACCCATATATTCATTCGGCTAGCTAATCTGAATCGTTCAATTCCATTTCAAGAGCGAGATCATCTGTGGTAGCAGCACTAGACATCTTCCAGGCATGTGAGGAAAACTAGCAGCAGTTAAGCGGACAGGAAGAATGAATTGTAGCCAAAACTGTAACTATACAGTCATATGTTTACATTACTGTTTTCTATAAAATATTTTTTTTAATCACTGCTGCTTTAAAGGCAGCACTTTAAAAAACTAAATAGTCTTGAGAGCTGTTCTTAACAAAAAATTTTTTTGTTTACACGTGTGTTTACAAAATGACAAAGTAAATCTGTCTAAATCATTTGTTCTTGGATTGAGGAGGTAAAAGAGACATTTTGCCAATGGATCAAGACAATTTACACTTATAATAAGAAAACACCATTGCATTGTCTTATTTCGAGTGCATTTTATCTAATTATCTTATTTTAAGTGTAAAAACAGTTATTTCATTGGCAAACTATCTAATTTACCTACTCAAATTAAAGTACACTTAATTTGAGAAATTTTTACTTATTTCTAGATCGTTTTTCATTGCACATGTAACTGGAAATGGGGACGAGTACGTTGGACGACCTTACGTAAACATATCACCAGAATGATTGACAGTTAGGTGGACCACTTACTTTGATGATCCAACCAGAAAAAGAACATCCTTCACTATACCTTTAATTAAAAAGCTAAAGGAACAAAAAAGGCAGATTTAACCACTGCTGGTGTCCAGTAAAGATGTCAAAATACATTCAAAAGAACCCCATACATTAGAGTTTATTCCAAAGGTTATCAAGCAATAACAGTATGGCAGTAAGGCAGACATGTGACCTTGAATGGATTTAAACATGTTGATTTTGTTTACTTTTTAAAACGGATGAGAAAATAAAGAGCTTTGCTTTTTCTTTAATTTTCCATTTTGCTTTGAAAGCACCACAGTAATCTGCTGCTCATGTAGTTCAATTTATTGAGTGTAAAACAGTTCTACAAAACAAATTCACTGCATCACTGCCCTTTCGGTCAGTTAACATACATTCTGTGGCATTCTCTTAAAGGGACAGTCCAATATTTCAGGATTAGTGCATGATTTACAGTTTCTGGCTCTAAGTGACCTATGAAGCTTATTTAGACTCTAAAGCTAAAATTAAAAACCTGAACAACCCTGTGATTTAGTTTCTTTTACAATCATCCAAACCACAAGTTTCCCTGATTTTAGCCTCAACCCCTTTAAACCTGATGCTTTTTTTTCTTGTTCAAGTTATTTTACCTTTAAACGCACCTTGTTACACACACTATAGTGAACCATAATCATAAAATACAAAAATCAATTCTGAATGAAGGACACAGATCCCCTTTAGAGCAAATACCCAAATGAACAAAAGGTTATGTTGGTAGTTTACATTCTGATTTGAAGACTGCAACATAAAAAAGAAAGAAATCAGAGCAGAAGTCCATTTATGTGTCTCACAAACCCTACAGATGCTTTTATCAAATTGGTTCCATCATTTACTGATGGGTCCGATGTTTGCTGGTTTGTACAGGATTTCTCTGAAGTCACCTCATTGTGGGGAATTTAATTTAGGAAGATAATACTATCTGTGGCCATCGATGCTTTCACAGGTTTTCCAGAAGGAAAGATTACGCCAGAAGCTTCATACCAGATGCTCTGATCAGCAGCTGGTGGAGCACGCTGTGCGATGACCACAAGGCAGGTCGGAAAGATGTCAGTAAGGATCCAGGAGGAACAGCCATTTCTGGTCATTAATTTGAGAAGGATGATGAAATTTCCAAATCGTGTGAGGTAAATTATTTTATAGAGAGAAAACGATACATTTAAGAGTACAGCCAATCACTTAAAGACTTGATGTCTCTTTAATTTTTATCTGATGATCAAATCCCAGGGAGCGGCAGCCACCAAGTCCACCATTAACTCCTCCGTATGGGAGGGTTAACCCTAACCCAACCAAAGGCCCTGAGGCCAACAGCTGAAGCTTGGTGATGGACATGAACGTGGCCTCAAACAGCCACACATCTGAGAGAGAAAGGCTGAAAAACAAATGAATAAAGGCATTACAAAGGCCTAGTTAAACCTGATGGAGTCTCTGCAAACCTCTGAGAACTGATCCAACGCTGGGAAGAGATTTGGGTCAAATTTTCCACAGCTGTAAGTCAGAGAAAATACAAAAATCACTGCCGAGTTCTTCCTGAAGGGGGCGCTTCGACCAGCTGCTGGATCAAAGGGTGGACTCAGGTTTTTTTACACACCTGGAAATCTGGTTGTTTTTCTAGTCCCAGTGAAGGCAAGAGGATTATAAGACATATAACCTGGATAATTTCTGGATCAGGAGCCTAAAACCAGGCCCTGCTGGATCTGATGCATCATCTAACAATCTTAACATGATCTCATCTTCCTAAAATAGTTATGAAAGGAAAAAAAAAATGGAGGAAAGGAGGATTCTCCAGAAGCCATCCTCAGCTGCCCTTTGACCCTGTTTCTCCTGATTCAATCATCAAAAAGTGCTAGCTTAAAGGTGTGCATATTGTGTGACATCGCTAAAGAAGACGACTGGTCGTCATGGTGATGGCAGAGGCACCAGCACATCCACATAGTTGACAGGAAGAAGCCCGGATCGGCCCCCAAGGCTCCCCTGGTACCAGTTGGAGTCGACCTGGCCGGTGAGGAGGATGATGTCTCCCCTGCTGAAGTCCAGCTCGCCCTCCCGGTTCGGCATGAAGGAGTAGAGCGCCCGGCAGCAGGGCTGATCCACAACGGGCTGAGAGTCGGCTGAGAGGAGGGACAGAAAGCCGGATGTCAGACTCAGGAAAACTCCAGAAGCTGGATTTAAATCTAAACTGGGCTTAAGACGCCGCTGCTCTGAAGGTCCTGCTCACCGCAGCTGGAGACGGGGCTCCCAGGTCCGGATGGTACCACTGTTAAATTTCCTCCTGAAAACAGAAATATGTTTGACATCTTCCAGGTTCCACTGTGAGCCACATGACTCCTTAATCCATCAGGAGTCATAATCTTATGGCTAATTGGTCAATTTTAACACATCCAACCACCAACGCTTCATCTGCTCTGGATGTTAGTTTGGACTGTGGGAGGAAGGAGGAGCAGCCCGAGGGTTCTGGTCAGATAAGAGCCTTAACCCAGGGGGTCAGAGGGCAGGCCGAGGGCCAATGGTGGCCCTCATTATGAATATATCCGGTGTTCTGTCAGCTCAGCATACCGCATCAGGCCAGCATACCCTTAGTAATATGAATTACATAGAGTTTCCTCTGTCTCTGCTCTCCTTACATCCAAGCGCGCTGTTTTATTTCGTGATTTAATCAGGTTTTTGTCATAGTTTGTGTATAAAACAACAAAATCATTCACTGGGTTCGTTACACATGTTAGGTTTAAAACAAACATTGCATGTCAGTCAGACGAAGATCTTATTAAAGAATGATCAGCATTTTTTCACAGAGAATTAAATATTTATAGGGAGAGGATTCTACAACCCAGTTGACAGGATATGAGATTTATTAGTTTTTAGTTAGTTTAATATGAGCGAAATGCAGATTTATTTTTTTATTCTTTTTATTTTTATAGGACATGAAGATACTGAAATTATTTTTAGATTACATAAAAACAGATTAATCAATTCTGCAGGGGGAGAGGAATGACTTGATAACGACCTACTGAGCCCACTGGCACAGTCTGAAGCAATTCTATGGGACTGATAACCTCTAATAACGATCAAGCGTGTGCATGATCGTTATTAGAGGTTATCAGGGTACGCTGGCCTGACGGAGTATGCTGAGCTGACACAACAACAGCCCCACGATTTAAGAGCAGCACATATCTGATTCACTGGCACTGATTTGATCTTTGAGAGATGTATCTTTTTTTTTTTAAATAAGAGCTTTATTATTTTTTACTAAAAACTGACATTTTCCTTCCATGGAAAAATTAGATTTTCACGTTTGAATGATCATATCTTTAATAGTACACCCAAAACATGATTAGCCTTCATTTTCTACTCACCCCCATGCTGAACAACACTCTGGAGTACTTTTTTGATATCTCAAATGCATCTGGAGATCTGGGAGGCTTCTTGCTGTCTGCTGACATTCAAATAATGGAGGTCTATGGCGCCCGAGGCAGAAAGGTCCATAAAAGTCCACAAAAAACGTGTCAATATTCCTCCATACTGCTCGTCCAATGTATTCCAAGTGTCCTGAGTGGGTAGCGTCCAGAATTCACTCGAAACAAAGTCATTTAGAATGTTTTTAGAGCATAAACAGTAGTGTATAGGATTTCCTGAAAGCGCGTTCACGAGTCTACGGAAACCGCGGCAGACCAAACCAGATGAAAGTGCGCATTCAGCATCTGCTCTGCCGATAATGCAAGTGTAGAAGAAGAAATGTGCTGTTTACCTGTGCAAAGAAAGAAACAACGAAAGAAAAATGTCTGAGGACTTCAGTGTTAAGGAAGAGCATGATTTCTTTGCCGAGCTGAATGCGCACTTTCGTCTGGTTTGGTCTGCCGGCTTCCGTAGCGTCGTGAGCGCGCTTTCAGGAAATCCTATACACTACTGTTTATGCTCTAAAAACATTCTAAATGACTTCGTTTCGAGTAAATTCTGGACGCTACCCACTCAGGACACTTGGAATACATTGGACGAGCAGTATGGAGGAATATTGACACGTTTTTTGTGGACTTTTATGGACCTTTCTGCCTCGGGCGCCATAGACCTCCATTATTTGAATGTCAGCAGACAGCAAGAAGCCTCCCAGATCTCCAGATGCATTTGAGATATCAAAAAAGTACTCCAGAGTGTTGTTCAGCATGGGGGTGAGTAGAAAATGAAGGCTAATCATGTTTTGGGTGTACTATTCCTTTAAATGTAACTTCATGGTAAGGACCAAAATACTGAGCAACTTCTATTTATTTAATAGAAGAAGAAGTAGTGAAAATGTTTTTATAAACTAGTGCCCAAAATCCTGCTCTTATTGCTCAGGGATGGACTTTATATTTTTTATTTTTAGGCCAATAAAATAAAAAGATTTTAACCGGTGTCTAAAAGTTTGGAAATAATCCAGTTGTTTTTTTTATATCAAAGCATACCAAAGATGACGATTTAAGGATCCTTTTCCCTCCAAAATATGACTACCTTATTTATTTCACTTATTACATGTTTAATAAGTTGTTGAGCAGAAAAAAATCAAACATTTTAAAAAGTGTGTCTTACTGTGGCCCATGAGAACTTTTTTATGGGTTAATTTTGTTCCACTATTATTGAAGCAAAGGAAACGTTTTTGAAATGGGAACTTAAAAACAATCATGCAATCATTAAAGTAAACTTTGACAATCTTGTTAAAGGGGTCATAGAATGCAAAACCGATTTTCCATTGTCATAGATGAATAATGATAGTTCAGTGGGTGAAATGGACGTACAGAGAAGTTTAAAACCCATTAACCCCTCCTTTCTCTGCAAATCTCACTTTTCTAAACTTCCACCATAAAACGGGCGAATTCAGACGAAGCCCTAAGTTGACAGAAACTCTGGGATGTCGCCTTATTTGGTTCTAGCCTGTACTTTTGTCATGCCCCAGGGGCGGCGGTTATGAAGTGTCGACTTCTGGGCCTCTGACCGGACCTCAGCAGAGAGCCGTGAGCCGCCCGTCCTCAGCCGGAGGAGGAGGGCTGGGGGCCGGTAAGGCAGGCGGGGGGGAAGCACGGGGCCCCCTGTGTCCAGGCTACCATCACCAGG